TTTGTGGAGAACCCGGAGAAAGTAAACCTTGCTTTGCTTTTCGCTCGCCGTATGGTACAAATCAAGCATGATGCGGCTAAGGAGAAGCAACCAAAAGGTGCATCAAGTGATTTTGGTGGAACAATCACGACCATACTACAAGCTTGTGGTGTTGATTTTAATCTTGAGATCCCTTTGATGGTTGAAAGCAAGCTTGATCTTCATTCCCTTCAAAGAAAGCATTTTCTATGCAGATGGTACGAGCAATCTACAAACTTTGGGTACCTTTTTACTCCGCCTTATGACGAAGAGGCCAAGTGCATACTACTACCACATAAGGAACTCCCAGCCTTGAGTGATGGTAACACTTGCTTTGACCGTCCTCGTTCTACATGGTTTTATCTTTGTCCCGGATGTCCTCTTGTCAGAGTTTCGCTCTACTAACAATCAAAGGCAAGGATGGCACAAAAGGAGGTCTCATGAAGCACAAGGAGAACAAGTTTTCCTGCCTTCCACCTCCCACATGCCACAACATGAGACCCCATTTCCAACCGCTACACATGCAAAGTTTGATGAATGGCTTCGCTCTAGCTTTGAGGAAGAGAAAGAGAAGAGATTAGCTCTTGAAGCTAAGGTTTCTAAGCAAGGAAAGATGATTTATAAGCTTTTCCAAGTGGTTAAGAAATATGTTCCACATCACTTTGGACGATCATCAACAAGGAAAGCCGCGACAACTAGCGACTATTTGGGTAGTCTTTCGCTTATCTCTACATTCGAGCAAGATAAGGATAACGTTGATGACATTTCTAGCCATCACACCACACGTGACCATAAGGAGGATGCCAACGCCCAGTACGGACAACAAAAACTAGTCCAGGCGGCGGCTTCAGACGAGATAGAAATCATCAACTACGAGTCCGATGGAGTACATTTTCCAGAAATTATTCCGGATTCACCAGAGTCTTTGTCACCTGTCTTTTGAGCAAGGTGTAACGACTCTGTAACGCCCGTGAACCAAAATGTGTATTTTGGTTGGTGCGTCGATCAACACAGTGTGTGTGTCGATCGACACACGTGGTTGGACTCGCGAGGAGTCKGGTTCTGGRTGTTGYGTCGATCRACACAAGTGATTTGCGTCGATCGACGCAAGTTGAAATCGAACCGACAAGTTCGGTTCTTGATCGCTTGGTTTGGCGTCCGGTTTAGGGAACCCTAGGGCATGATATAAAAACACATGGAGACATTTTTGCAGCCAATTTTGGAGAGAAAAAGGAGAGAAATTTGTAGGTTGTGAGAGAGAAGAAGAGATTGTTGCTTTGAAAATAGTTCTATCCGATTTTAGAAGGGGAG